CACTGTCCCTGAGCTCTTCAACTCAAGGTGAGTTCTCTACCTCTTGAGCCACAGTGCAACTTCTGGTTTTCCTGTGGTTAAATGGAGATACGAGTCTCAGGGACTTTCCTGCCCAGGAGGCTTTGAACCACTGTCCTCAGATCTCAGCTTCCTGAGTAGCTAGGATTACAGTTGTGAGCCACTGGCACCAGGATAAAAATGGGGGAATTTTAGCAAAGAAAATCCACCTCTTCACCTGTGTCTAAACCTCAGATATCACTAACACTTCATCCTCAACTCATTTCATCAGATATTTGTAAAGTTTCTCTTTCCCTTTATGTAGGAATACTGCAGTCAATATCAACTCATCTGTGGGACTGGATTAATTGTATGTTAATTGCTAGCACCTAAATCAAGAACTGTTACATCAAAACAAATGAACCTCTCATTTGGAATAATTGTTTTCTCTTTTTATTACAAATCTGTGCTTTATTAATTCCTAATGTGATACTGGACCTCCTGATAGAATGATGATATTTTCTTTCTCTTCAGCAATTGTCCTTCTCCCACATGTGGTCAAATATTTAAGATTTCAAAGATTTCCATTGATAATTCATAAAGTTGACCTCTAAGATAATGTGCATTTCTGGAATTTGGTCTGCTGTCTTGTTCTTACATGCACAGGCTTTCTATGATTTATTTGTTCTACAAGGAATTCTACTTTCCAATCTTCGTGTGATCAATTTTAGTCCCTCTCATCAGTCTTTCTGACCCTCTCTCTGGAGTCTCATTTGAGTCTGTCTCATAAAAAATATATTATCAACTAAATGACTCTCAACTTCTGTTTCTGGCCTGACTTCATGTAGTCTGTGATAGCAGCCCTGACTGGCTGTGCTTACTGGAGTGTTTTTTGTTTGTTTTGTTTTTGTTTTGTTTTGTTTTTAGAAGTCTAGGATCACGATTGAAGGTAGTAGCTTTTCTGAGCCTTTGTGATCCCCTGGCTTAGAGTCAATGGGTTTTTCTCCTAAAGATACAAAGAACAGGTGACTAAATTCCTGTTTAAATTGTCTCAAAATGAGGCAATCTGGCATCCTTGCAAAGCCATCAAAAATTCTCTATAACCAATTACAGAATGTTATATCAAGATGGCTTGTTAAGATGACTGTTCATTGGAAATGTTCATTTCCAAGTCACCACCATACAACTGATCACATCCCTGGGAGCAGACTTTTGGAAGAAAGGTTCCCCTTCCTTCCTTATCTTATTATAGATCAAACCATAATATTCTGCAGTTGTGGTCAGCCTGGAGCACCTTTTCCCAAGAATATTTTGTAGTGTAAAAGAGGACCAACTATCAAAATAAAGGTGAAAATACTTGTCTACTACAGAATGATTTATTGTGCTTATATCTATTGTTATTTTCACAAAAAAAATCTATTGTTATTTTCATTACTTCAAACACATGGATAATTTATATTGGGATTAGACAAGTGGCAAAGGATTAATAGAATAAAGATTCCATTTACTTTCATATATCCAATATAATATACTTAACCCCTTATGAAAAATTAAATCCAACTGTAGAAACAATGTCAAAAATATAAAATAAGCCTTAATATGAATAATCTGGCACACATAAACCATCATCTACTCAGAAATGCAGTCTCTATAAATATTTATTTGGTGCAAAATAATAAGAATTTAATTAATGTATATGACTTTTATGTATCATCTGTAATACTCCTCGTTTATATAATTGTATATAATTTTATAGACGTTACCTAGACAGGAATTTAACGTGCATGTAGAAATCAAATTTCCACAATTTATGCTAGATGAGAAGAGTCATACTCTCTTGTACTGTGTGGTGTGAATTTTACCACAGTGCTGAACCCTTCCACTTAATACCAAAAGTCATGTGCAATAATTTATTATTTGATGTTAAGATGAGTGCTAATTGTAGAATAGACTTAGAATTATTACATTAATTCACAGAATTAAAAAGTAATGATATATTATTTGTTTAAATTCCAATGCTTCTCAATTTTACAATTCATGAAATATATTATTAAAATTAGATTCACTTTCTTCTTTTCTATAGCTGCTAAAAGTAAAATTATATATTAAGGATTCAACATTAAGAAATCAATAATAAGTAACTTATTAAAATGATGTAGTACTAAACTGTGATTTGAATTATGGTTCTAACAAATTGTGATGTAAACAACTGTTAATAGAATTATAGTTCATATTTTTAAACTTACCAGCTTGTTATTTGTTTCCTAATTGTGTCATTTGTTATTTTTGGTCCAAGTTGACTCTTCATCTTTATTGTTTAGTTTTCTATTTTATCTCTATTGGTTTGCTGATTGTGCATTTTGTTTTCCCTTTTTAGTTACTGACATGAGGCTGAAAATCTGAATGCTAGTTAATTACTTCCTATGTTAAAGTAAAATTTCTGCTCTCCACATCTGTTCTACTCTTAGTATAGTACTTTCCCCAGTCCCATATACTGTCTTGCTGCTCTCATGTATTTTATTTTAGTTTATTTTTATTGTGAAAATACCGTACAGAGGGGTTACAATTACATGGGCAAGATAATGAATAAATTTCTTATCAAGCATTGTTGCCTCCGCCTTTGTTTCCCCTTCTCATCCCTTCTTTATTTTATTTTTTATTTAAATTTTACTGTCAAGGTAATGTACAGAGGGATTATAGTTATCTAAATAAGGTAATGAATTTATTTCTTTTCTAATTTGTTATCCCTTCCCCCATTTTTCTCCCTCTTCCCTCCCAACAGCCCCTCCAAGATTATTTCCAACATATTGTCTTCTGTGTATCATTGTTACATAGGCTCCCCCTTGTCATTTGTCTCACCATTTTTCCCTTTCCCTAACCTAGTTCATATTTACAATAACCAGAGTTATTCAAAATCAAATACAGTGACTAAATATTAATCAAAACCAAATACAGCGACTACAGGGGATAAACTATAGGTGGGGAAAATACAAAAGGATAAAAAGAAATCCTGCAGTACATTAAGAACAACAACAACAAAGAACATGTCTTGGAGTTCATTTCACTTGGAATCACCTTATACGGTCATATGTACATAGCTATAGGGCTATTCTGCTCATCTACTAAGATTATCCTTGATGTACACAATAATGCTCCCCTATTACCCAGTAATCTCACTTCTGGGCATTTAACCAGGTGGCCACAAGCAATGCCACACTAAAGCTACCAGCACAATTATGTTTATCACAGTATTATTTACCATAGAAAAGATATGGAATCAATCTAGAGGCCCCTCAGTAGATGAATGGATCAAGAAAATGACACAAACACACACACACACACACACACACACACACACACACACACACACACACGGAATACTATGCTTTCATCAGAAAGAATGATACCACCTCATTTGTAAGGAAATGGAAGTTCTTGGAAAAAAATTATATTAATTAAGCCAGACTTAAAAAAAACATAGGTCCCAGAGTTTCCTTTATTTGTAATAATTAGTTTACACCAAGGATAATCTCATGTATTTTAATTAGACATTTTGTCCTATGTTGAGCATACAACATTATTGTTATATTGTTTGTTATTATTTCTGCAAACAGGCAGGTATATTTAAAGAATTATGTTTATCTTATCCAATACTGGAGGAAGAACATCCAAAAGAGCAACCCCTATTAGGAAGAACATCTCGTACTTACTTAGCTTCATTCCTATGTAAGGCCAGTGTTGTCCCCTGTATCCTCATGTTGTACATTACAAATCTATACCGGTTCATCCTGTATCTCTACTATTTTCTACATTATGACCTAAATGCCCCAGCAATTCCACTTTGCTTTACTTTAAAAAAATATTCTCTCTTAATGTTTGAGTTTGGTGTGTGTGTGTGTGTGTGTGTGTGTGTGTGTGTGTGTGTGTTTACAAAAAACAGAAGACAACATTTTTCCTCATTTAGAATACATCATTCAGGTCATTATAGGTTGTGGATAATGGGAGAAGTCTTGTTTTAAGGATGAAACATAAAAATATATTTGTGCATGCACCACAGTTTATTAGTCTGTAGTTGAACACTTAACTTCAATTATTATCTTGGCTTTTGTGAATAATGTGAATAACAATGAAATACAGATACATTTACAAGTTACCCAGAGAGAAATAATCACATGATTGGTGGGTCAGATGATATTTCAACTTTGGATTTCTTTAGAAAACTGCATACTATTTTCTACAAGGAGAATACTAACCTGTATTTTGACCAAGAGTGTAGAAAGTTTCCCTTTCTCCACACTCTCACCAGCCAACATTATTACCTTTTGAGTTTTTTTTAAAAGGGCAGGTTTTTACTGTGTGCAGGACCCAAGATGACCTCAGACCCAAATCCTTTTACTCCAACCTCCTAAATGCTTCGAATTACAAGCCTTTACCACCACACCTGGTTCTTTTGATTTTTTTGATGAGGGTTATAATAGTTATGAAGTAGTATCATAGTAATTTTGAATTGCATTTCTCTAATGACTTCTGTTTACAAAGCATTAAGCCAGCATAGAAGTGGTATTAAACACAACTTTGTAAACCCACTGGCAATTTTCTCTGGGCCTGGCTTACTTCACTTAATATAATTTTTTACAAGTCTTTCCATTTCCTAACAAATGGGGCAGTCATTCTTTCTGATGGAGGCATAGAATTCCATTGTGTATATATACCACAATTTCTTGATCCATTCATCTAGAAGGGACATCTGAGTTGGTTCCATATCTTAGCTATCATAAATAATGCTGCAATAAACATAGTTGTGATAGTAGTTTTAGTATGGTCTTGTTTGTGGTCATTTAGGTAAATCCCCAAAAGTGGGATTGCTGGGTCAAAGGGAAGCTTTATGTGGAATCTTTTGAAGAACCTCCATAATGCTTTCCAAAGTGGTTGAACACGTTTACATTCCCACCAACAATGCTGTATGGTTCCCTTGTGGCCACATCCCCTCTAGCATCTGTTGTAAAAATATGGAACGCTCCACGAATTTGCATGTCATCCTTGTGCAGGTTCCATGCTAATCTCTGTATCGTTCCAATGTGAGTGTATGTGATGCTGAATTGAGCACAGAATATTTTTTATATCTAAAGTGCAATTGATTTTTTACACTACACAATTCAAAAAAAGGAAGTTCAAAAGAATTGTCGTAAAATTTTACAACCATATATTTCTTTTTTTATTTTTATTTTTTGTGAACATACTGTACAGAGGGGTTACAATTACATGGGCAAGATAATGAGTACATTTCTTATCAAGCATTGCAGCCTCCTCCTTTGTTTACTCTTCACATCTCTTCCCAGCCTCCTCCCCCCGCCTCCCCCACCCAATCCTCTCCTCCCCCCCGCCCCCCCCGCACCAAAGTTGTAAAGTTCATTTTCGACATGACAACTTGCACTTCTCATTGTTGCAACGGGTCCACCTGTATCCTTAAATGACTTGTTTTTCCCCATCTCCTCCACAAATTATACCGACATCAAATATAGTGAAAGCAGGGGTTATACTGTGGGGGAGGGACATACAAAGCAACAAAGAAATAATCTTATAAATGCATAAGAAACAAATGCATGAAAGAAAAAAAAACATTTAAATACATATCTAAGGGTTCATTTTCCTAACATCACATTATCTGACCTTTTTTGCTTGACTCATACATATACTAGATATTGCAAATAAGGGAAACCATGGGACCTATGTTTCTTTGGGCTTGGCTTACTTCACTTAATATAAATTTTTCCAAGCCTTTCCATTTCCTAACAAATGGGGCAATGCCATTCTTTCTGATGGAGGCATAGAATTCCATTGTGTATATATACCACATTTTCTTGATCCATTCATCTACTGAGGGGCATCTGGGTTGGTTCCATATCTTAGCTATGGTAAATAATGCTGCAATAAACATTGTTGTGCTGGTAGCTTTAATGTGGTCTTGTTTGTAAACATTTGGGTAAATGCCCAAAAGTGGGATTGCTGGGTCATAGGGGAGCTCTATGTGAAGTCTTTTGTGGAACCTCCATACTGCTTTCCAAAGTGGTTGAACAAGTTTACACTCCCACCAACAATGAAGTAAGGTTCCCTTCTATCCACATCCCCTCCAGCATCTGTTGTTATTAGATATTAGAGTTCTTGATTTTTGCCATTCTAACTGGGGTGAAGTGGTACCTTAATGTTGTTTTGATTTTCATTTCTTTTATGGCTAGAGAGGTTGAGCATTTCTTCATGTGTCTATTGGCCATCCTTCTTTCTTCTTCAGAGAAGTTTCTCTTTAAGTCTTTAGCCAATTTATTTCATGGGCAGTTGTAGAACCATACATTTCTTACATAAGCACACATTTAAGAATAAAGTCAAGATTGACATGTCAAAAACAAAATAATTCCAGATGTTTGTTATTCAAGAAACGTATAGGAGGAGGAATTCAACTATTCTGTACAAGGCACCTGTCATAATGAACACTGCAGCAAGTGTTAAGGTTTGTTAAAAGTTTTAATGTTCTAAATATATTTAATTTTGGGAATTTGTTTATATATGCCAAAATTAGGACTGTTTGGCAAGTATAAAACTTTTCTATAAAGTATTTAAGCTGTTATAATAGCAGACATATCCTACTAAGTATGTACATTTCAGAATTTAGAGAAATTTTATTAATGAGAAGTCACAAAGTTTTGTGTAAAGAAGCAGAATAAAGAGTTCACACTTTGTTTACTACACAGTTTCTGTTAAAACTTTAGGGCTTCCTTAGTTTATATGTTAATGAGGAAAAATGATGATATAAGCCACAAACAAATAATGAAATGTGCCATAAATAGTAATCTTAGTGGGTAACTTTAAAGACTGCTCATATTCTATAAAACTCTTGTTGAACATCACAACCTTAGTCAGTGTTAAATGTACAAGAATATGAGAAAATAGTAAAACCTAATATGTAGCATATTTCAAATAGTTAAAACACTGATGTTTTTTATTTTATTAATTAATATTTAATTATTGGTTTTCTTTATTTGTAGCATCGCTTTACTTGTTGACATATAGTACAACTTTTTTTGGGGGGGGCATCCAGTCATGGGGCCTGAACTCTGGACCTGGGCCCTGTCCCTCAACTTTTCAGCTCAAGGCTAGTGCTCTGCCACTTGAGCCCCAGAGCCACTTCCGGCTTTTTTCTTTTTGCTTATGTGGTGCTGAGGAATCGAACCCAGGGCCTCAGGCATTCAAGGCAAACGTTATACCACTGAGCCACCTTCCCAGCCCTTGTACAACCTTTTGTAAGTCATCATTAGGAGGTGCTTTGAGAAGGTTACTTGGATGGCCAAACCAATTTTTATAGGTGCATGTTAATTTACAAAGAGGAAAATTAAGAACAAAATATGTATTAAAAAATAGAGTCTGAATCAGGAGTGTTGATAAATGTTCACACCTAATATCTTAGCCCTAGGCTGAAGCAGTGGTATTACAGAGTTGAGGCCACAAAACGTGACAGACTGTGTTTTGTTTTGTTTTGTATTTTGATTTTGTTGGTGATGGGGCATGAACTCTGGGGCCTGGGTGCTGTCACTCAGCTCAAGGCTAGCGCTTCCACTTGAACCATTGCACCACTTCCATATTTTTTGCTTATGGGTGCTGAGGAATCAAACCCTGGGCCTTATGCATGCAAGGCAAGCACTCTACCACTGAGCCACCTTCCCAGCACCTGAGAGACTGTGTTTTAAAAAAAACCATCTAAATAACATTTGCTTTCTGCTTTGGGTTATATAAGGAAATATATAAATATATTTTTATATTTTTGTGAATTGAACTTCTAAATTTATACTAACTTCAGCCACTTTATCCTTTTCAAAGTCATGAAATATCTGTGAGAGTTTGCTTCTGTGAAAATTGTTTTTGCATTTATAATTTCTTCTGAGTTATTTTTATTTTTATCAAAATAACTTTATATTTCATGTTGATGGGTTATCATACATCAAATGCCTTCAAGTGTACATGTAGAGTTTAAAGATAGCAGTATGAATATTCTCATACAGCTCTTGTTTATCTGTTATGCACTTCCAGTATTATGATATTTCTCTCTCTTTCAATCTCTCCCATTTCCTCTCTTTCTCTTTCATGCTCCATGTCTGGTACTTAGGATTTCGGCTGGTCTACTATTCCTTCAGTATCCACTGGTTTTGTGGGAACATGATAGCGACCATCAGTTACCCTTGCATTCTTTAAGAGTTATAACAGTTACATGATATTATTCTTTGCCATTCAAAATGGCAAAACAGCAAATCTAGGAATTCCTTTTCATTTTATTACTATTATAAATTTTATCTCATAAAAATTGTTGGGATGGATAAGATACTGTGACCTGTGACCTAAAAGTTCTTTTTCTTGGGGCGGGGATAGTGGCTCAGTGGTAGAGCGCTTGCCTTGCATGCTTGAGGCCCTGGGTTCGATTCCTCACCACCACATAAGCAAAAAGAAAAAAGCCGGAAGTGGCGCTGGGGCTCAAGTGGTAGAGTGCTAGCCTTGAGCTGAAGATCTGAGGGACAGCGCCCAGGCCCAGAGTTCAGGCCCCACAACTGGACCCAAAAAGAAGTTCTTTTTCTTTTACAAACAACCTTTTTCTTTTATTATCAGTTAGTAACTACATATAATGAAAACAAAGCTATCCTATGGAAAGTAGACCGAAGTTGCTCACAGGGATGAAAAACAAAGGAATGTGAGAAGTGAGTACAAAGGATGCCCATCATAGAGCACAGATCTTAGGAGCAATTTATCATGTACACTTTGTGAGAATGACAATGTGCTGGAAGTATAGGTTAAGTCACTGAACAACTGATATAGATATATAGATATACACATATTTATATCTGCATATTTATTTATATATGCATATATATGTTTTTATGCCCTTATATATGTACAAATGTATGTTACTCTACACACAAGTACACGTATACATATACACATGTATACATGCACACATGGAGAAAGACACATAGTTACAGACAACACAAGTTTCACTAGTTGTTGAATATGCCTTGAGTGGAATGCTTGGAACCAAATATGTTGAAGATGTATTTGTCCCTCAGAATTCTTTTACCACTCCTCTTATCTCTTAAAATTGGTAGTTTTTGACAGATTCGATTTGCAAAATGTGGTACAAGTGATAGCAAATCACTCAGAAATCTCAGTAAGTAAAGGTCATACGGTGTTTCCTTGCTCCCCACAGAATGCTTGTTCTTGTAGACACTCTCAACAACCAAAGCAGCAGGAGAATACCCTGTAAAGAATAAAGTTATAAAGCTTTAAATGGCATCCTTACTTGAACTCTTTTCCAACAGCCAGCATCAATTCCTAAGCAGATGAGGGAATCCTCAGAAGACTGGATTCTACATATACATTTAACCAACCCATGTGAAAAGTCTTATGTGAGAAATGCTGACTGAGGTCTTGCTGATTTCCTGGCTAAGAAAATAAGGAAAAAAAGAAAATATTTTTTTAAATTTAATTTAATTTTATTTGTTAACATACTGTACAGAGGGGTTACAATTACATGGGCAGGATAATGCGTCCATTTCTTACCAAGCATTGCAGCCTCCTCCTTTGGTTTACCCTTCACATCCCTTCCCAGCCTCCCCCCTCCCCCCCTCTTTGTTGCTTTGTATGTCCCTCCCCCACAGTATAACCCCTGCTTTCACTATATTTGATGTCAATATAACTTGTGGAGGAGATGGGGAAAAACCAGTTGTTTAAGAAAATATTTTTAATGTTTTCAAGTTTGAGAATAATTTGTAAACTGTCAACAAATGTGTAGAACACAATTATACCAAGTGAAAAAAAATGCTGGCGTTTCATTTATGTGCTCTTGGCCTTGGCAAGTGATTTTAGGTGTGTCAACACAAGTAGAATCAGCAAAAATCAAGCCATCACTTCTTCATTTAAGATGCAAGGAAAGGATACAGGTTGACACATTTTAACAATGAGATGTACAACACAGTCTATCAGAGTGGGGGTGAATGGGGAAGTTGGGGATGTGTGAAGGAAAACTATGGTAGAGGAAAAACAAATGATGGGGTAACAATGCTCAAGAAG